TAACATTTGTATGAATTGGTTTTTATTTATGCTTTGAAATCTGTTTGAATTAGACAGTAAACTAAAAAATTTCCATTGCCTTGATGTGTAAATACACTTTACAATTTTTATAATTGGTTATGTGTTTTAATTTGAAAATAGGAACATACTGAACTGAAATTTTTCCAGTAAGTAAAAACGAACGGGTTAAAAAATAGCAACGAAACTTTCTTTGTTTCCAGTTCTCACGGCGGGAGACCGAGCCATGAAAAAACAGGAAACAAAAATGGTTCGGCTAACCGCCAAGCGTTAATAAATTCTTCGAATTTGCGAGGAAAGGATAGACTATGGTAACGCCCGCGCCCGGCGCGATTTCGAATGACCCATCGCATCACGCATCGAACGAACGCTATGATGCACTCATAGAGAATATTACATTTATATTCTCCATGTTGAACAGAATATATATTTCAGGTAGTCGGTGCTCGCCATAAATTAAATTAATGTCATCAAAAATATTTGACACAAAAATGTACGATACAATGGGCACTACAATTTTATTCTAATTTGTTCCTAGCTTTTTCTTTTTTAATTTCGTCATGAAAGCTATCGTGCCTACACGTAATCGTTAAAAATTTCTGAAAGTAAATCAAAATCAAATGGCAATTAGAATTGAACCAAAAATACTCTTTTGTTAAGTGCTACAAAGACATTAAGACATCATTCTTTTATAAAGAAGTTATTTAAAAAAAGTTGAAAGTGAGTTACGTCGTACAATCTCCAGTTTAAATCTTTTTACTTTGCTATTAGAACTTTAATGAGACCTGTCAATTTTGTACTTTCTCAGGCGTTAAGATTCACAGATTAACGCGGAAAATCTCACTCGTTGCCATCCGACCATCGATTGGTGATCGCCATAGGAAAAATTAAAACTCCGCTAACATTTTGATACCAACTTTAAGTTACACATTTTAGAAAATGGAGCATGCAATTGATTCTAGTATTATCAAAAAAAAAATACGTTTGTGATAAAACAGAATTTATTATTTAAAATATCAATCACAGGTCTAAGAACTATACAAAAATACATTATAGGCTTAAGGCAGTAAAATACACTTCGTTGTCGTTCATGTGTAAACGTGGTCACCACAACATTGGTTCATTTCTGTCATTTAATATAATATTTTACTAGAATCCATAAATATTATATAACTTGATCTTATCGATTACATACTAATAGAATTTACTTTATGGTTAAATCAATATTTTTAAATTAAAAAAGTCAAAATGTCAATCTATTTCGTATTGCTATCTAAAATTACATTATTTTATAAAACCTTTTAGGTTCTCGTGAAATTAGTACATAAAGATAAATGATTGTTAGAGTTACTTTATGTAACAAAATTAATATAATTCTTTAAATTTCTTTGAACCATTATTGTCAAGTTATTTACCACGTAAGAACATTTCGACTACGTTACAACATAATATTTGAATTATACATAAATAATTAAAAATTACACATCAATCACTCAAAACCTTTCAGTTTCATGTCAACAATACCGCTAAATACATCTAAAACTCTTCAAAATCAAACAGGTACTAAAGCAAACCCACATACAAAAACTCAGTCGGTCAGAAAATATAAAGCTAATTACAAAACAATAACCAATTAAAAAAACTACACGTCCACATGTCACTAATCATGAATTACAAATATACAAAACCTAATGCACTTAGCTACTTGAAACTTCCGCCAATCTGTAAATAGATTCACTCCGCAGCTGTGGTAATGTTGATACTTTACCTAATTCCGCTGATGAATATATTTTATATACAGATTTGAACTTATTTTTCTCCACATCTACAACAATTTGCGCTAATTTCTTAATTATTGGATTAATATGTTCGAATGTGTATCCAGAGTAATATGACAATGTGGGTGTCCATACGTCTTTGAGGCTTTTGCTTGATAGTAGATGAAGAGAGAGACAGATGGCCGCCGCGGCGACCTCCGACGGCCGGTAGTGAGCCGTTGTATACTCAACAAGGCTCAAATCAACTAAATATTTAGCTAAATGGTGATTTTTCGATGTGCCGTGAGCCGCTTTTACAAACCTAGAATATGAAAAAAAAGATTTTATATGAATGTGCTATAATTTTTTTATTAAAGCGCCATCTGGTCGAAACATTTGAAAGTTCAATAAAGACAAGTATATTTTGATAACTAAACTCCTTGCTTTTACTTATAGCATGTACTACACTTACTTACAAAACTAAAAGGATTTATATCTAATTAAAATGTATACCTTCTTAAGAAGCTAAGTGGTATGGGACGAGCAAGGCAGTATCCTAACTTCACAATGATGTCTCTCTCACACTGGAACAACTCTTCTTTGGTATAAGCACAGTCCGTCACATAAATAAAATCGTTGACATTGGGTGCGTAAATCTCTTCGTATTTGCTTGCTATGAACAGAGCAGTCACACCGACTAACTGCAATTTATTCCTCGGAAGATCAGGGACAATCTGTGAAAAGATTATTCCAAAATGTATTTGCAAAAAATAAAATTATTGATAACAATTTATGGGTTTTAAACAACCAATATGTAATCATGTTATCTTTCCCTTCCTCACTTATGGGAAGGGTATTGAAATTGGAAGCATATGGGAAGGGGATATAAAACTCCATGCAATATTCTGTTTGAATATACTTAAATAATAAAAGTATGACAGCAGTACTGTTAAACAGTGTATACTGTTATTTTTGCAAAAAAAAACAAAATTCACACCTGTAAATATCTGTCAACAATTCCAACTGTTATTTGAAATGTCTCCAATACCAATGAAAACTGATGTTGCACTTCTGCCAACCATTCAAGAAGTGTTGCCCTCATTTTACCAGTGATATGAGTCTGAAATATTTCAAATTAATTTGTTAAACATTTCTGAGAAAATACATAATTTAGTTCTTTAGTACACCAGTACATTAAATTCATTACCATACCATTCCAAATTAATTCAAAATTGATACTATAAAAATTAAAAAAATTATGTGAAAATATCGCTCAGCACACCATCAATATATGAAAAGAACCTTACCTGATTTTTGAAGTGATCCTTTTCAATGGGATATTTTTCTTCTAGTTCTGTCAAATACCGATAAATATCTTTAATGTAAATTGACATGAGCAAGGGACTATTACTGTCCCTCGCATCAATGTCTTCAATGTCACTTGGTAGTGGTAAAGGCTTCACAATACAAACTGAATTTGCTTTGTCTTTCTTCTGTCCCTGTAAGCTTGCTTCAGACAATTTTAATTTTCCTAGAGAATCCGTCGGGTCTCTCAGAATTGATTTGATAGTCTTGGTTGTCTTAACTTCCTTAACAGAATGCAAACCATTAATTTTGTCATTTTTCTTTGCTTGACTTTCTTTAGCTTCCTTTGTCTTTTGTGCTTCTTTTAACAATAGCTGAAAAAAAATTGAAGTGATGTTTCATCTATTCCAATATTATAAAGAGGAAAGATTCTTTATCCTTTTTAGTTCTATAGTAAACTTATTAAAATTGTAATTTAAAAAATATATACCTTAGTCCGAGCAGCTGCCTTCACAGCAAGACTAGCTGTACTCTCCTCACGCCTTAAAGATGGTTTTGTAGGCAATACCGGCTTGGTAGCTAGTCCAGAATCAACTTTGGATTGCACATGATTGTAATTGCTAAAAAAGCCGTCACTAAAATTAATCATCAGCTACGATCAATTAGCATAGTCATTATTATTATTATAAAATATAAATAAGGTTAGTGGGTATTTTGAAAAATTCTTTTTTTTTTAACAATGAGTTACAATGTGAAAATTTTCTATTATACTGCAGCATAAAGTAAAATAACAATATTCATTTAGATATATAAAGGTAAGACAATGCTGAAAGACAGAAGAATATGATATTAAGTACCTTCGAAGAGCAGCGCGATTTGATTTCTTGTCAATCTCGGATACGGTAACGGTGATTTTTCCTTTACTGACATCGCGTTGAACTTGCAAATTACCATTTATTTCACCGAGAACCCCACGGACAGTTAAGCCATCGCGTTTTGATGGGAACGCTGTGTGGGTTTTAGTTTTCCCATAAATATTTTCTTGGTCATGTAGCTGCACCTAAATAGACGATTAATTAAATGCACAATATGATAACCGACATTGTTACAAAAACAAATTAAATAAAGAATGAATAATAATTAATAATAATATATTACCGTTCGAAGTTTTCGAGTTTGAACCTCCATTTTAGTGATATGTAGATCTTGCAGCTGTACGAACCGAAATATTTAATGTATTTCGGCCGCTTCTAGAGACTAAGCTTATGTGATGTTATTTTGCTTAGTATTAACGTTCCAGGATACAACGCACTAGGAAAAAGCTAATGTACGAACGACCACCAAACTCAACAACGTAAAACTCTACTCGAAAATAACGGATAAAATCAAATTCAGAACGACGTAACGTCTCCAAAGGCCTGTGATTGGTTTAGATTATTTAAGCGGAAGCAACATATTGTATCGGAAAAATACTATTATTTTAGTTTCGTTTTTAATGTAAATCATATACAAAATAAAACATCAATTTAGCAGTTTAAATAAAATTGAGATTTTTGTTTTAAAAAGTAGTTCTAATCTAATATTTACCTTTCCCAAAGTTTTTATTAAGTAGTGAAATGGTTTTTCTCCCATAGACCATAAATATTTTTTGGTCCAGCTGACTAAGCACAAAAATTTGTGACTTAAGAGATCGATGAAAATATAAATAACTAACTTTTTATGTCCATAATTACCTACTTCAGTCTGTATTATTTTCCACGGATTTAAGAATAGATTAAATTAAATTTTAAAGAACTATAAACCTTAATAATAAAATGTAACTGCAATTTTCCTATACAAGTGGCGCTATGGTGTAGCAACACTGTCCCGTTTACCAACATCAATTTTAAAATTAGAAATCTATTTTGACATTTGGAGCCGTTACATGTTTAAGTTTTGTTTGATTTTGTCGTGTTACATTCTCTTTGCGTTTTGACTTCTAGAAATAAAGCAAAAATATTCCTTTGCTTATATTATTATACAAATCTTTACTATGTTTTAGTTCAATGACTTTATATTAGTGCTTTATTTGCAAGAGATTTGTTTCATTATATTTTAACATACAGTGATAATGGGAAGTAACACCAGTAAATCCATCAGCGAGACAGCTGTTCACGAACAAAAAAACGATTTGGACACCAATACTAATCCTGATCCTCGATCGCCGACTCCTGAAATAACTCGGACGCCATTACAGGTATTTATTTTAAACCATGGCTCTGTTTACAAAAAAACACTTGTAGTAAAAAATATTTACATAGTTTAAATCCCAACGAACAATTTTGATTACATTTTTACAAATAAAAATGGGCTTGATATTATAAGAATTAGAATGTGGAAAAGTTTCCCTAACATTTATAGACTTCCATTATAATTAACTATCAACCAAGGTAGATGGAAATAAAAATAACATTTAGTTGGCGCGCTTTTAACAATCTATCGCCACGAAAATTTACTTCGTACAGATTTCCTAAAACCTCACTTCTATAATTATTTTAACGTTTCTTATATATTGTTAGTTCAAAAACTATAAAAGGCATAAAGCAGAGTTGGTAGTTTTTTAACTTATTTTTCTTAATTTCAGAACAAAAATAATTCTAAACATAACATAACGAAAAATGTAGACTTAAGGAAGACTTTTGAAAATGGACAAGTAGATGAGAAACTTATTCACAACAATCCCATTCTAACAGCAGTCATCAAAAATCATTTGCAGTCTTATGATCCTCGTTCTCCAACACAAGATTTTGAACGAACTCCAATAGTTATACCTACATTTGATGAAAGTGGAATCAAGAAGAAAACATCAAGACTTCAAAATAACAACAGCTATGCAAGTCCATGTTTGAAAAAAGATCCCAATGATGATTTTGACACATCAGATAGTACAATAAAGTTAAGTCCAGATTTAGTAGTAGCCAAAAATTTATGTGATGGCTTCTATGATCTTTCTCTTAATGAAACACTTGATGAAAATGAACAACCTTTGGGATCATCTACCACATCTAATAAATGCATTGAGGATAAATTAAGTCCTGATGGAATTGAACAGCCTAAAGTATTATTGGAAACAAATTTTGACTATGTAGATTTGAAAAATGATATAATTGAAGAAAGCAAAGAATTAATCTACACTAATGGAGATATAGAAGAACCTGAAGTTAAATTAAAGAAAAATCATTGCTTCAAGATATTAAAAAATGATCCTAGATCACCATCAGTTGATATCAAAAGAACTCCCATAGTTGTGACAATGACTGATGGAAATGATAGCAAAGACAATGTTGAAGAGATGTCTGATGACACTCTAATAAGGGTTTTACAAAGTACAAGTGAACAGACACACATTGGTGCTAACAATGTTGATGGTGTACTGATTTATGAAGATGAATCTGCTGTTATAACAACTCCTAAGAAAAGGCCTATTCATAGCTTAGGTTCTCGAACACCTTTATCTTGTATGAAGAACACTACTGATGCATCACACACAAGGTCAAAATCAGCTAACAATTTGGAAAAAAAGAAGGAATTAACAAAAACTGCATCACATATGAAATATGTTTCTCACATTCCAAGGCTCAAGTCCTTGTCCAAACAGATGACATCAGGAAGTTCGGTTTCATTGAAAAATACTTCTAAAAGTTCATCCATCAGTGGTGACTGTGAAAATACACCACCACATTCTCATAGAGACAGATGGGATAAGGACAATAGTATTGTACTTTAGTCTCCTTTATTATATGGCTAGTAGGTTTTCATGGTCTTGATTTTCTGTGTTTCTTATTTCTTAAAGGAACGGTATCTGTAATTTTATCCACTGATCATAACTAACTTGTAGGATATTTAGTAATTATCTTTTTAAATTAAAGATTCATGTCTTAAAAATTTAGATAAAAGTCTATATGATCATACAACATAAATACATTCCATCTAGGCAATGGATTGGTTTTGAATTATAATTATTTTAAATATGACCAATTTATGATTGTGAAAAAAATTTGGATATCCATATTCTCTCTAATTGATTTTAAGGTCTCAGGGTTTCAGTCTTAAATAAATGCACGGAATAATTTAATAAATTTAATTAACTCTAGTAACAATTTATTATTGCAAAATAATAGAATTGCAATTTAAATACACGACATAGAATGCAATTGTTAAATGACAAAATAACATTGGAATGATCAGATTTTTATAAGAGATTTTTTTCTTTAAATATAATTATGACAAAAATTTTGTTGTAGCATTTAATACAATAAAAATATTATGATTTCAATAAAAAAATATGGTCTTCTTTCTTCTATATCTAAAATAACCTTCTAATTCCTCAGATGAAAGTGATGATGCTGAATACAAATCACATGAATAATTCAAGCAAGAATTACATTTTAACATCGAAAGCATTATTTTCTTATGCAACACATTAAGCAAACATCTAAACTTTTAAAGGGCAAGTTATAGCCTTACTAAATTTTACACAAACTGAGAAAACTAATTTCTGATTGTTATGTAAATTATCAATTATACACTAAATATTTGAGTGCAAAAATCTGAAACAATGAAACAGCATGAAAAGTACCATATACACGATTATAATTTCGCTGACCAAGGAGTCTTGGATCCTTGTTATTACGCAAATATTCAAAGAATTAAAATTTGTATAAAAGTCTTTAATAATATCTTAAGTGATTTGGCACAGGCAGTATTTTACATTAATCTATATTGAATATAGAAACCGAATAAATATATTGTAGTACTATTATTATATATAAATTATTAATAAACCCCATATAGTCTTTTAAACTAAATAGAGTGGCAGAGCGAAACATATTTTCTGATTTTTAAGACAGTTGGACTGTGAAATATTAACTTTTGCCGTTCTATGAGCCTTGAACATTTAATATGACTATATAATATTGCAATTCATTTTCAGGTGACCCTTTTAAAGGTAAAATCGCATAGCTAATAGTATAGGTATAATTATCGTCAAATATCTTAGCGGCTCAAGGTCATTGCTGTGAAGGGCTGTGCCCTTCCCCCGCATCACCTACATTGTGTTCTGCGCAGCGACTCGCCCGAAGTTAAGAGCCGTCAAGGTAAAATCGACAATATCTATCATGTGTATTGAAATTGCGAATTAAAACTATCATTTGTTAAATTAGTAAAGCCAAATAAGTACCGATTTTTTAAGAATATAAAATCAATCGCATTAATTACTACATATTATTTAAAAATTGTTTTATTACTAGAAAATTTATTTAGTATTCGAGATAGATTATTATTAAAAAAAAAAATAACTGACGATAAATTACAGAAAATTTTAAGCTGATTATGTTTACAGTTATACATGGAATAAAAGAACTATTGCACATACTATTCAATTATTTAAAAAAAAACTTCAGGTACATACTTTATTAGTAAATGAGAATAAAGACATGCATAAAATTATACATGCATCTATTTACACTGGATGTTTACATGATCAACCCTAACAGCTAAGAATATTTAATTCCAATATAACTTTCACTATTTAAAAATTACATTGTTCTAATTTTATTTTCGTTAGAAAAAGTAATAAATGTTTGTTGGGTAGAAAAAAGTTACTTTTAGTATGTTTCAAAGCTGTCAGTGTGATTCGTGTAAAAATTTACCTAATATACAAATATTCTATATATTTTCATCAAGCTAAGTCACAAGTACAACCAAGAAAGAAGTGTGATGTTAGTAAACATACATATTTAAAATGGACTTATGATTGTTAAGTATTTATAATCTTTCGCTTAAATTTTGTACATATATTGTAATAACGTAACAATATTGTTTAATTGACCTTTGCAAATAGCGTCCAAAATAATCTCATTGAGTTTACACTTATTAGAGTAGCTATATGAGAATAATAAAAGAATTTAATGAGTTAATTTACCCAAAACCAAAATTTAATATAAAATTCATTAAAATCGTTGGATTAAGTCTTCTGAAATCATCATCACTGTTTAATAAAAATGAATACAAACTGTTACATTATTACAATACATCGATATGACCGTATCAATAAATACTTTTGTTATATATTGTAGTACCCTGCAGAAATTGTTAATAAAACATTTTCATTTGTAAAATCTTTCCTCAAGGTCTGCAACATCAAAACTATTAAGCCGATAACAAAAGCATCAACAACTTTCTAACACACATACATAAAATCTACATCCTTGTTGTGATTTGTAGAGGTAGGTTGTCATTTTCCATAAATTCATCCATTTCAATTTTCATTTGAATTATTAGGTTCTGTAATAAATGTTTAGTTGTGTTAACTGTGCCAATTCAAACAAAACATATTATTTACAATTAAGATATTTGTTATTAACACTGATAACATGCTAAAGGTACAACAAAATGATTTATCAACAGTTAGTAATGAATCACAGCATATAAAATCTGAATTAAAAATAAATTATGTGCATTATGGTAGGAAATTGTCAAAAGGTTAAGGTTTTTTTTAATCAAATAATTCCTATACATTTTCTTTATTTTAGTCCTAACGGTTTATTAGTTGCGTTCTGTTTATGAAAAAAACTCATCATATGGACAGAACAAAGGTGAAATTAAATCTATATTTAAAAAAAATGATTTTTTCATATTTAAAGTAATCCATATTTCTGATCACCCCATTTCGTTCTTATAAATAGCATTCAAATGAATTGGCAAGCAAATAAAACTTGATTAATTTAAGTTATTTAGCATGAGGACTTTCAAACCCCGATTTGACAAAATGATCAACTTTTTTGTATATTTTCGATCTCCATGCTCCTTTGGGTTATAGTGCCATGTAATTTTAATAGTTCATAAAAATTGTTTTATTGAAATTAATAAAATAAATAATAATATATATTAATAACTTAATATAAAAATATATCAGTATAGTAGAGTACAGAATATAACTTTTTCTATTTATATGTACAATTTACCTTCCACTTTTTCCGGAACATTTTTTGAAATAAATTCACAAAGGTCTGAATAGGCTTTATCCAAGTTATCATTGAGAATTATGATGTGGAAGTTCCCAGGCTGTTCTCCTGAAATAACAATAAATAAGGGTTTGTAGACAACACATATCTAAATAAGGGCTAAATAATATAGCCAATCTATTTGTAACTTTAGTTAATTTATAAAATCACTTTTTTTTATAAGGTGCTTGTAATCCAGTGAAATTCTATGAGAATCATGTAAACAATGTTTTTTTATGTATAGGCTTAATAAGCGTTACATATTTGAGCTTTGATTACAGTTAAAAAAATTAATGTCATAAGGTCAGCGATAAAAGACACAAATATTCTTATTACATAATTCTGCAACATAGAGTTAATAAAGTATATTAGATATAAAACCTAAGTAATGGTTCTACTTGATTGAACTTTGGTAATAAACACATCAAAAATGTAACAAGATCTTATAAAATGCTCATAAAGTTAAAATACTTGCTACTGCATTCTTTTTCAGACTTCCTAATGTGAAATGAAAATACATGAAAATTAATACATTTTATATTTACCAAATTCAATTTCGCGTCTGGCTGTCTCCAATCTCTTTTTCAATGCATCTTCTTGTTCTGTATTCCGTGCACGCAGTCGTCTCTCAAGTTCTTCAATAGAGGGTGGCATTACAAACACCAAAAGTGGATCCAAGTCGGTTTTCTTTACTTGTTTTACCCCTTCCATTTCAATGTCTAGTACGCAAATCCTACCAGTTCGCCGAACATGTTCTACTGCTTGTTTACTGAAATATTCATAAGTATTGATATTAAAAATTTTATTCAAAATATTTCTGCAGTTCAATAAATACCTTTCATGTGCAATAAAAAATTAAGGTTAATATCTCTCTCTCTCTGCCTTCAGATAACTTTAATAAGAAATATTATAGATTTGTGTATATTATTTGTGTAAGAAAATTGAAATAAAGATTAAAACGTAAACACAAAAGATGCAACCATTTTTATAAACAGCATGTTTACAGCGGTTAGTCTTTTGGCAAAGTACCAAATATAAAGCCATTGAGCACATGGCAAAATTGCTTTTCACTTACCTTGTTCCATACATATTTCCACTAAACGTTGCTGTTTCTAGGAATTCGCCCTTTTCAATAGCAGCAAGCATGTCATCTTTATTGGTAAAATGATAGTGAACTCCATCTTTTTCTCCCGGACGTGGAGCCCTTGTTGTATGCGAAACGCTAAACCCAAATTTATCCGGGAATTCTTTAAGTAGACGTTTTAATAGGGTGCTTTTTCCTGACCCTGATGGGCCGCAAAGCACCAATGGCCGAGGTCCTTTTTGAACCATCCTCGAAAAAACTAAAAAATAATTAAATTAAAAAGCCGCATACAGGTTAAATCTTATCTTTCTATTTAATTTTTTACGTACACTTGGCGAAAAACGTGATAACGTTTAAATACCCCAACTTTACACGTAAGCTTGTGGGTACAGGATACGCCCAATTTTTATTCTCTTTTATTGATTTTATCTCGCAAACGCGAAAGGAAATCCAGCACACTACTACTTCACAAATCGTATTAAGAAGTGGAAAGTGGCACAAGTGACAATGACAACTTGACAAGCAAGTTGACAATTATGAGAACAAGATATAGATTATCACAAGTTAAATTCAATCTCATAGATAGCGAAAAATTTCACTCAGCTTTCATTATAGTAAGACCGTGTTTCCACTTACTAAAATGCTTGACTTACTTGCTACTACAACTGTATATATACATACAACTGTAGATATACCAGAGCGTCACGCCACGATAGTGATAGCCCTTTTAATCTCTTTGCCACCTACAATTTGTATAGAAACAAATCAGTTTTTGGTCTTTCATCCATATCTAAAGTTAATCATCTTCGTCGCTCCAATCTTTCTAGACTAATCATCACGTATCAGAGACGCGCCTCACAAGCCTGTTAATCTAAGACAGGTATAGCGAACCCATGGCACGCGTGCCATTGATGGCAAGCGACACAATATTTTGAGCCACATTGATAATAAAGTTGAAAAGTTGTCTTATAACCGAAGCGAGCACGACTGACGACACTATGGAATGTTCGCAATAATAAAGTATTTTTTGATTAAACTTGTAATTTAACATTTCTTTAGAAAAATGCACATCGATACGTAAAGGTTCGTCTTGCGACACATCTAATCTAAGCTGATATATTTCTAAAATTTGGTTTGATGACTCTTGTAATGTGAAGTATTTGATAAAAACACAGAGTATTTTATATAAAATAAAACAACTGTTCTACGATTATATTTTTATTTATTTTCTTAATACATCTAAACATAGTTATACCATTAGGACATTTTTTTATAATTATATAAAACATTTTTATTAGGTTTGCTTCGGACTAACAGTTTAGTAGCAATAGCATGCAATTTAATTATTTTCACAAAATATTTACAAAATATGCTTAATGTATTGCATCTATTAAACGTATTACAACAATCAATATCTTATCATATCGTGTCAGTTCGTCTAAAGTAAGTAAATATTTATTCTTATATGCGCTCAGATTTAAGTATTAATAAAGCGATTGATACTTCTATAATTTTTAACCATTTTCAAGGAAACAGATTGTATAATTTTGTATTTATGTGCTGTTTTCTTTTATAATTTTTCCGTCTTATTGTGCTGTAGAAAACACGCGAATTCTTACACAAAAATCATGTAGTTTAAGTGCGCCATCTAGTTACAGATTTTTTTTGTGTTATTGAACATTGTTGTTAAATAGCGCTAGAGAATATACACAAATTGACAAAAACCTCAACGTATGGGTTAGTATTATATCCATACTGAGACAAAAATATTCTTTTATTTCCTTATTCGTTTCCAAACTAGTACTTCTTCGTAACAGTGACAACCTTGTCCTGAATCTTTGCACTTTGCGATAATACCGATGTTTAATTACAATTAAATCGAACATCGGTAATACAATTGATGAAACCCCATTGCATTATTATTTATCTTTGCGTGCTATTATTTGAATCGCACTCGAGAGCTCGAGTCCAATTTCCTCGACGACAGAAGGCCACGATTCGTAGCTTCGACTGCCAACCGCGATCGCAGCGCACACGGCATCTCGATCCCTCAGCTAAACCCTCGTGCGATTTCCCTGCCTGGTGCCCTATGCAGCTAATACGACCATGTTCGGGTGGTGCCGGAGTTATACACCAATTACGAACTGTGAAATAAATTATATATTTTTATCATGAAAAAAGCAGTATTAGAATTACCAACTTCTTTCACCAATCTATGATATATCTTGAAGAATGCTAAGTACCCATCTATTTAGCTTACCGTTTTAACTGGAACTAAGTGAATTTAGGACTTATCCATATTTAACGAATAAAATATTACCTCTGCATGTAGGAAGTGCATCATCCCACTGTAAGTCATCGCCGCATATTAGTGACGTTGCACCAATTAATTCCATTTTATCGTCTCGGCATCTGAAGTTGCAGGGTTGATTGAGTCCATTGCAATGTGTGATTAACGATTCCGGAGTCTTGCATGTTTGTACGACCACGCGGACTTTAAATTTGCACATTTGTAGTTTCTGAAATGTTAAATCAAAGAAAAAAACCTTAAATTACTAGACTTTGGATTGCTGGCGGTCAACAAATGCTACGACTTTTAATTAATTAAAAAAATAAATCCTATATTTACCTCATTTCTGTTTACTATTCGTCCTACTACGGAATATGAGCCTTCCTCGAGTAATGTACCAAACTTAGGACCGAAGTAATGCTGGAAACGTATATTTTTAGGTGCCCTTCGACCTGAACATGACAACAAGCGTGGTGCCTGAAGTATGACACGGTCGAAACCCGCTTTAGCAACCACTGTTCTATCTCGAGGACATTTTATGCAAAACTTATATTCTGGAACAAAGATTTTTTGTTACAATCTTTTAAAAACATAGTATCATTTAAACATTATATGACGTTTAAATCTGATTATGAATTTTTCCTATACATTACTCATTAGTCTAAGAAATAGATCAAAAATCTTTTTTAGAACCAGCTTTTAAGCTAATATGGTTAGAACAATATTCATATTGTAAGTTATGATAGAAATTAACCTGTATCATCTATTCGGTTGTCATGCCTGCTCCTCAAGCGTCTAACTGGCACTGGGCGTATTACATGAGGTTCACCCATTCTGACAACTTCTCTTCCGGGATAAATATTCATCACTTCAGGTTTTATGTTTTTGCCCAGAACTTCTTTAAGATACTGATCAGATTGATAGTAGAGGCGGGGGTCTTCTCTGGGCTTGTAGACTTTGATCGGCGTTTGCGCATCGGTGTATGGCGGGGCGGGATACCAAAACTGCATTGGCGTGCGCGGCTCGCCGACCCCGCCGCTATAATCATCATAATCATCGCCTCTGTATATATGATTGGACTTCAACAATGAAGACCGTTGGTATTCTTCCGAGGTCGAGCTATGGGATGCCTTTTTCACGTCGTTTACACTGCAAAACATACAACTTTAATATTTTATTATTATATTATTATGGAATTCATATACTATTTTTAGAATTGCATTTATTAAGCATATATTTTTGCCTAAAATAAGTAAGTATGAAATATTAATAAATCAACCAAGTTTCTATCTTCTGTATTCTCAAAGATATATGTGACGTTAACCAACCCACACTGGGCCAGCATGGTTGATTAGACTTAATCACCCCTATCTTAGGGTAGGCTCTGAACCCCTCAGCGGGGACGTATATTGAGGTGATGGTGTATATCTTCAGTAATGTGTCAAGTACAAAAGCATATTTTCTTTAATCTTTAATTTAGTGAGGCAAATACTTATTATAATTAAAATTATGATTTACCAAAAAACCTAGGAAGTCAAAAAAATCTCGTATGAAAATAATGTATTATACTTAAAACATTCTAAAGGCCAAGAACATTATATAAACGGAAGCGATTCAATCGTCAATATTTTTTTAGAGTATTCGCGAACATCCTCAATATATTCGAGTGAAGTATCGGTTGTTTTATCAACGTAAACATTTGTGGGAGCAGCTGTTAGTGTTTAAGACAAGAAAGCCCATAAATTACCTATACTCAGACTTTGAAATATGCAAATACTATAGGCATAGGAATGACGCAGGAGATGCTATTTCGGTAGAGATGTTTGCTATTGTGAACAATATATTTCAATAAATACTTATCGCTCGATAACCGTAACTCTTCAATGTAATATTTGATTTAGAAACACCGAGAATTTTTGCTAGCTATAGCCATATTTTCTATACGTAATATTCCTGGAAGAAAAACAAGAGACTAGTGGAATGTTGAGAGAATATGAACAACGCGGGCTACAATTGTAGAGAAAGACTTAAGAAAGTATAGATATAAAAGAGATATAATAGCTTCCTTTGATCTATGATGACTCAGTGACAGACACATTGAATACACAGACTGCTTTTATGTATACAATAATGTATTATGTGGCGATAAGATCACGAATTAAGCTTTGCGTCACCCACTAACCTGTTATGATTTGTTTGCAGTGCACTGAGCCTTCCTGTAACAATAAAAACAATACTTTATTGATGTTTATAAACCATTAAAGCGTAATTAACATTGTAATTGTTATTATTTTCATAGTTAATTTCTTAGTGTGTTTATAATCCTAGCAGGAACGATACATTGCAACGAAAACATTAAATTAACATTCTGATTAAAAATATTTTATATAAATGTACGGTAATGGATCATTGTAACCGATAACTGTTGGTTTCATAGCCCAAAATCTCAGTGTCAAACTTATTCATCCGTCATTATCTTTAACAAAACAGAGATAAGAAATTGTTTTATACGGGGATTTGGTTACAGAAACCCACAGTTAGACATTATCATAACTTATTAATCGCAGCCATTCAACATCATTGGCGAACTAAAGATTCGTTTTTAGCATATGAATTTGCTTACACAAACAATAAACGAATTGCAGGTATATTTCTGGCTGACGTTGATTTAGGCATTTGCTTATAAATGGCAGGAAAATTCCTGAGCAAACATTTATACACATCGAAAGCCCAGTCACAGTGTTTATTGTTATTGTAATCGTAAATTTTCAGTTAGCCTAAAATTAGAGCATATTTGGCTGCACATACTTACCGATGACAACTTATTTGTTATGTTTTTATACCTGTACTATAAAGGTAATTAATGGAAACAAGAAGGCACCAGAAGATTGCTTAGAATCATATTTTATAACTATAACGTTCAAGTTAATTTTAAACATTTACTGCGGATTTCTAAGACCAAAATACCCGTTCAAAACATATTGTAAACTCTGTCAAAGATAATGACGTCTTCATTATATAACAATATGTTTTATAGTTGTAGTAGTAGTAGTTTTTATATTTGAGATATTGGTCTTGGAAACCAACGGTTTGACCGTTAGCATGAAATGATTGAAGATGAGTTTCGATAAATGTTCATTACTTCTGTGTTATTTTAAATATACTGCAGTAGTACGTGCCGATTTTTTGGCTTTTGTCCAAAATATATTTGCAAAAAAACCACCAAATCGATAGCTCGTTTAATTTCTTGAAAAAAGCTCCAACCATTAAAAACCTTTGAAGACCTCGTTTATAAATACTTTTCTTTCATATTTATTTTCCATGCTTACTATCTGTCTTACAGCTTGATGTGAATTGCGTAGTGATGAGATGAGTTGTTGGGGGTTTCGACTTTCGACGGTTTTGTATTCCCATATATTGTTGTTTCTTTTTTTGTAAGAGAAGATGACTATTTCATGATCGGTTCTAGTTTTGAACATTATAGGAAACTTTTAATAAACAACATTGTTAATTCCGTGAGCACTCATTCACACGGACGCTTTTTTAACGCCGCATTAAAACTCAGCGTTGGCGGATATCGAGCGTTGAACGCTTTAAAATGACTCTTGTTCCGTTCGCCCACCACTCAAAATGCAACCCTACTGATTAAAAAGCGCTTTAAAAGCACTGCCATATGAACATTGGAAATGCATTTTATTCTTTATGAACGTTTTTTTAAAAGAGCGTTAGAAATGCCCGTACAAATAGGGGCTTAATTTCCGAGGTATGTTAAAGTTTTACGAAAACCTTATCGTGTATTTCCACCGCCGAAAAACCTATACTTAGTATAATAGAACATGGAGTTAACACTACGCTTGTGTTTCGGCAATGAACACTCACTATTAAAAACACATTTGTGATGTAATTTTGCTAGTTAATAATATTAGGCGCTGTCCAGAGAATATCGTTCACGAATTGAATGCAATCGAAGAACAATCTAGAATTGTATTATTTAATGCTTGAGTAAAACCCTCGGCTTATTAGATGTAGCTGTTTGTGATGTGTGTATCATACATATTTACATCGTGTCATAATTTATGATGTGTTATTCAAATCAAACGTGCCGATTTTAAATGCAACAACTCACAAAGGATTTGTGCGACGCATTAAATGACGTCACTCAATTGATGCAGAAATGATATCACTGCTTTTAAATAACAGCGATATTGAATCTTATAGTGTGAAGTACATAATATAGTTTATACTTAAAGTACCAACGGCTATACAATTCATTTAAAACAAGCCTATAACGAGTTTGAACTATATACAAATGTTGAATTACATTACACCTACCACTTTATTAGAGTAAAAAGAGTTATAAGAAAAAAACTAACAATCCACATCTGTATGGAACTAGTATATGTGGTTGTTTACCAAAATTAAAGGTATAATATGTTGCTGAACACACTTTTTTCCAGTCATTACTTATACATACACCTAAATAAAATAATATAAGCCAAGCCGTGACCCAGAGTGGTAGGCAGAGAATTCGGCTTTCACCTCTCGTATACTGATACTTATACGTATATTCGCAGACTTCTTCCTACTTCTATATGTCACCACGGTAAGTACCGAGTGAAGCTTACGATCCGACGATCAAAGATTCAAATCCTGGCTGTATGATTCTATAGCTACGATATTCTTTTGCTGGCTGTACGGTTATAGTTTATACACATATGGTATGTGACGACAGATATCCAATTGGACTTACTTAAAAAAAAGACTAAGTAACTTCACTAATGAGATAATGTGATGCTATGATTGATAAGGTTATTTATTGGTTGAATGGTCAAAGGTCACACAAATAATAATTTTATTTTAAAATTTTTTTAAATACAATAACAATTTAAATTCAATAGAAATTAGTTTTAAAACACGCGAATCGTGCCACAAAAACTCGCATCGTCTAAATTATGATAATCAAAAAATAAATACATAGTTTGAATAAAAAAACTCACCGAATAAAATTACAAATGTGCAGACAGAGATAATGGACATCTTGCGACAAACATCAGTGTTCGAAAATCGGCCTGCGACTGCCGACGGGATTGTTTGAGCAAAACAAATCGACGCGGTATCAAGGCACTCTATTCGCGAGATACAAAAGGGCGTCTAATCTAGTAGCCGAAAGCGTGTGGCCGCGCGAAGCGAACTGATGAGAAAAAGCGCGCAAATCCACTCGCGGTAACAGAAGTCTACAAGCGTAGGCGGAGTTTACACTTGCCAGATCAGATCAGTGTGTTGATGTACACAACACTAATTACATGACGAGCTTGCACTGTTCAGGTGATTTGAAGGTTAAGACTTTCCTTGATTGGCAAATCAAAACAAATAAAAGATTAATTTTGGAAACCCATTAAGATCAATATATTTACTAACACGCTTGTGTACTAAAATAGCTATTGCACCTACTTTATGAAGATGGAAGACTGGCAAGCAAAGATAATTCTATTATATCTTTGGCTGGATATCAACGAAAAACAAAACATACACTTACACATTTATTGACATATCACAAAACAAACGAGAACATTGTACAATGTGTTGACATCACTATTTCAAACGGGAACAAAACGTTACACATGGTTAAATTTTTATGCTTCTAGTGGTTTAGACAATCTTATTGCAGGTGTACGTGCAGCAGGGATGGTAGGGCGGGTTGGGACAAGTGAAGGCCTGGCAGGGAGGGACTCTAGGGCAGCACTCGCCTGGATACCACACGGTGCGCGCGTATCTACCACTGGGCCTTGTACAAGCCCCGTGGTTAAAACAATGTGCTTTGCAAGGGTAATCATAACAGCATGGTCTGAAAAAATAAATACATTTTTTAACAATAATAACTTTAATAAACGAATATTAACATGTATAAATTAAGTACTCCTTAAAATGTTTAGCACAAATTCTATAAGTATGTGCCTTATAAATTTTACCAACGGATGTTGTGACTTCATACAAACGGGATGTCTCTATATTTTGTTGCTAGAACACTTCGTGTTTGTTCAACGCTAGTTGAAGCTAATTTATTGTTTGTGCAGCAACGGATTAGAATATGACTATCATTATTTTTTAAAACACCTTGTCTATAAAAACACATTTGGGAAATTTTATTTTTGAAAAACTTCGTAAGCCAATAAAATACTAGTTTCTACACTTTAAATTTTATTAAATTTAGTGTGAATTATTGCTCACGTTTTATTTCTGTTACGGAATGTGGTTGTTACTCAGTTCTATGGAAAACGACTTTGCAAATATTGCCTATAAAATTCAAACGGGCAGATACAGACATTAAAAGAATCGATAGATAAAATTTAACTCTAAACCTATTAACCGAATGAGAGTAAATCAAGTGAATTTTTCTATACATCAAACGGTAAATAATCGGTTTATTATTATCATAAAAGGTATTTTATTGAGCTATTTAGAATATTATATCGTAATTTCCACTGACCTATCTAGTCGATTTTTTCTAAACTAAAACATTAATACTTTGATCCTCAATGTTTTTTTATTAATCTTACGGCCACGACCTGATTTTTTAATACTAGGGCCTCATAGTCAAGCAGTTATTGCACATTTTGGCTTTGCGGTTTAATTCCTCGGTTAACTATGTCTTTCTTATGTGCGTTCGGTCAACGAATTTTAACAACAGCTCCACTAGGTCCTAGGTTTGATTAAAAAAATAAGCCTTACGACAAATTTTGACAGTTTACCTGTCACGTGGAGCGTTACTCGGTCCCGAACAGTAAGGGGTTGCCTCACGCTGGAAGGGCTGTGGGCGCGGCTGGCCGCATCGAGGTCTCTTGTAGTAGATCCCGGGCGAACCCTGCACAAACCCGTACCTGGGGCAGGGTCGGAAGCATTCGTATCCCCTGGGTAGAACTGACATACCAGTGATGTAAGATTGTCACCTGCGCCAAATGTATTTTTGTCTTAAAGTTAGACTACGTGTCATTCGTAATAAAGGAGGAAATAATGCATACATTTACTTTTTTATCAACTCTTAAGTAAATCAGGTAACAATGAATTTAACAACTATTAAAAAGTTATTCATTGGCAAAGAAAAAAACTGTAATGATAAGAAAATCTTCTAATTCTAATTATATTAACTGAAGGTGAAATTAAAATCTATGATATTTTTATTTTTAAACTTATTTCCATTCAGTCCGCAGCTGTTCAATTAAAATTGATAACTATCTACGTTTGTTTTAAATGATATAGAGTTTGGAAACAGTCTCATTGGCCAGAGATAACTGCGAGATGACATTTTTATAACATTCATATGTGCAGAACCGGTCTATTTATAATGCGTGTGTGTTCCTACCAGACACAAATTGCAAAGAAAGAGAAGCTAACAGATACGCACAGATAAAAATAAAAAGTACATGGTTACTTTGTACAGAAACCTTTACGGTGTATTAAAAAGAGGGAATATGAAATTATTTTTCGCAATCTTGTTTTAGTTATTATACTACTAGCTGTCGCACGCAATACATACACCCAGAATAAAAAAAGAAAAAATAATTAGTGGCCTACGTGTTCTTCCAGATTGCGGTCTACATCTCTATCCAATTTCATCGAGATCCTTTCTGCCGTACTGGAGATACCCTCAAACAAACATCCATCCATCCATCCATCTAAACTTACGCATTTATCATATTAGTAAGATATACTTACAAGAAATATTTATATTTTCCACAGTTTTGCAATTTTTATGTATTTTATTTTTATTAGAATACTTTAACTCTTTTTAATTTATTTTATTATTTTAATATGTACACATAACTCAAACAAAATTTTGATAATGTCAGAATTTTCCATCTGACAAATTAAGAAAAGAAAGAAGTAAATTTAAAGAAACTTTTTTGGCCACTATTAAAACTCAGCAAACAAACGCCATAATGTTTTGGATTTTTTTATATTATGTAAAAATATTAGTAGATCTTTGTCAATTTAATAACATTTCTTGTAAACATTCCTGGTAACATTATGTTAGGATATGGTTTACGATAATAGTTGAATGCCGGTTTTCGAACCCACGACTGGGGGTAGTCTGCCGTTAACCATTAATCCATTGACGAAATTATCCATGGATTATCATTCTAGTTGGATTTCAGCTTATTAAAGTATCGAGGAGGAATACAAAAATATTATACTTGACGTATTCAATTATAACTTTCTTAATTGTCCACACAAAGCCCACTTTGTGTCGCCCGCGAAGTATGTAATTAATTGTCCACAATATCATCTCTCGTGTCTGAAGAACTTCTTTATTTTAATTGAACATAAAAAGTGTCAATAAACATGAAACTGAGACGACCTTCACAGCCATTTATTTAAATTTGTTTCCTTTGTGTATTAAAATGAATCATAAATTGATTTCATTAACGCTTACGACACGTAAATTTATAGGTTAAGATGCAATCAGTGGCGCGCTGATAAATTGTCACATGCAACGTCGTCAATACATCAATGTTGTATCCAAGGTTCTGCTCATTTGTCTGCCCCAACTGAACTACGCTGTAAGATTTATTGTTGTCAAATCAATATTGTTGCTTAAATTATTGTATAAATTTAATGGAAAGTAACTTCTGTTGTAAATTCCTTATTGAACCATTCAATTTTTGTAAGATTCGAACGGATCTCAGACCAGGTGTGTAAATTATGGAGGAAAATTAAAAATCAACAAATGATTGGCAAACACTATTTATTAGAACATTGATGGTATTACATGTTAATTATGGAACTGCAAAAGCGGAATGTCGATTCGGGGTGACTACCAAACTGGCATGCAAGGGCCGCAGCAGCCATTGCAGACAGGCACGCCTGGGTAACTGCAGCGTTTAGGCGAGCAGATAGCGGGTTCCGTGCAGCAGTAGCAGGGGCATGGCTTGTAGCGGTTGGGACGGCAGCAAGGGATCGCAATTGAGTCGCACAGCCTAGATGGTGGCCTCACACAAGTTCGCGGCTGGAAAGAGTAACAACGTTAATATATTTGTCGTCGACGTAAACAGTAGATATTGAGCAGTAGCAATATCAGTGGGCAGACAAGCTGTGAATTACCTTATCACAGGGTGGGCAGGGCTGTAAGCAGGGCAGGACGGGCGTAGGCGGGCAGGGCTCGGGGCAGGGCCGCACGGGCGCAGGGCAGGGTGAACAGCCGCCACCGGGGCACGTCGAGCACGCGCTCAGATCGTTATAGGACGCCGCGCACGGCTTAGTCGAGTACGGGTAGCACGCACCGCACGGCCGCCCAGAACACACGCATGGGTCGTAGCTGTAAAAAGGTGCACTCATTATTATTAATTTTTACAATTTTTTTTACAAAATTTATTTTTACTACAAATATATCATTAAAAAGTCAAAAGTGAAGTATCTTGTTATTTCTTTTTACGCTGAATTTGTTTCTTACTAGCCATGAATAATTGAAAGAAAATATATTAAAATCTTGTTTGACAAAAAATGAACAATTTAAAAATAATGTCCGTTATGTCATCTGATATTTGTTAATTAATTAAAATTTTTAAAAATATTTTTTTTGATATAATTTAAAGAAAATTTACAAGTAAAAATTGCAAAATAAGGAAGTAAATCTAGATATACACAATAAAATTTGATAATCTCACATTATACCTTAAAAATAAGTGATGTGCTCATCCTGTGGTTTCTGTCCGACTTGCCCCGCCATCATCCCGTGCGGCACGGGGTGCTGCCGCTACTCGTGCCCGCCGCCACCTCCGTGCTGCCAGGCGGTGTGCCCGCCGCCCGCCTGCTGCACGCCCTGTCCGCCATGCCGCTGCCGCCCGGTGTATAGACCCTGCCCCGCACCCATACTCCCCGACATTGTACCGCCTATCGTGCCGGAGTTGCCGCTGTGCAAGCCTCGCAGGATACCGCACTGCGAGCCGCCTCCGTACCCGCCGCCGAGACCGGTCTGTTGCCCGCCGGTGCTACCCTGCTGCCCTCCGCCGGAACCCTGTGACCCACCACCAGTAATATTACTTCTGTTGTGTGTAATGGAAAAGTAATGCAAACACGAAATATATATTTTTTGCATTTTTCAGGTGTGTCCTTGTCCGGAGCCTACGCCTTGCTACCAGCCGGTGTTACCTTGTTTCAATCCGCAATGTCCGTCGCCTATAATTCCAAAGCAGCGACCTATTTGCCCCCGAGCACCACCCTGCCCGTACCCGTGTTTGCCCGTGTCTCGTAGCTGCTGCCCCACTTGTGAGCTAGATCCGGTGACGCGACGGCGACCTCTCATCGTGCACGACAGCGTGTTCCAGTGCCGCCCCTCCGGTCTGCCTGCAGAGTGCTATACACGACGAAACCCCAACGTCCGATACGCGGTGGCGAATTACGTCAGACAGGTATGTGTCATCGCTGATACTGATAAAATTAATTAATTCACAATTTTCAATTTATTTCTTGTGCATTATTTAGAATTTTTTATAATTATTTGTTTAATTTCCAGGGAGAGCAGGCAGGCTGTGCCTACTCAGTGCCTGTGCCGTTGAGGTAGTGTCGGGTGATATAGTATTCAAGTTGTGTGCTGTTTCCTGTGTCGTGCAATAATACTGTAAAATAAAGTAAATGTTTGTCTTTTTAATTGTTTCATGCGTGTTGTGTTTATTATGATTAAGTAAATAATCCTTCATCGTCGTACATTTCATTAATACTACTTTGCAGATGAATTCACTACAGACAGAAAACAAATACTATGATTATTCATATAGATTATGTATAAATTAATTGAAATTACGCTTACCTATTCATAATGTACATATCTCACACGTGAGCAGAAGAATAACAAAACACTTTTTTTTTTAATAAGTTCTATATTATCACTGAAATGAATTGGTTACAATTTTTACGGCAATATCTTTTTTTTCTTCTTTTTTGTCTCACTGTTACATGATCTGCGTGTGGCAACTGTAGATGTTGATGCATGGGTTCAAGGTATAGCATCTCTGTGCAGGCGGAACTGTACTCTGACATACATAAGGGCCTTGAGGACCACAAGTATTAGCGATTGGCAGACATGCCGCTGGTACGTTAGTTATTCCGCAACTTCCCATTTTAGCCAGTACTGTTACTGATAATTTAGAAATGAGTAAACGAGTAATGAGACTGTTAAAAACAAATGAGAGGAGTATGCTCGTGTACTTGTATTTATAAGTACGTTAAGCCTACTTGAATATTAATTTTGTTTTGTTAATCTAGATTGCTGAAAGTCTAGATTTATAAAACAGTAGACGTAAAATATGAAATCTCGTATGAAACAATATTTCCGGTGTCCTTGGCACACCATGTAAGTTGCTTCAAGTAGCCTTTTTCTGTTAGAGTTCTTGATTTATTTGGTGGAAGAACTGGTCCATTCATGTAAAAGTTAATCTTTGCTAACTACTTAGCTGAGTTTTTGTAAATGTTAATTTATTGCTTCTAATTGTATCAAAGCACCTACTTGTAACAAAATGGTTCGTCGTATTTATAGCGGTGTGATGGTGTCTTAGTCAGTGGAATATTTCTCCTATAAGATTTGATAATGCAGCCACAAACGACTTCTATAAATAACAGATTTATCGGTTTTTACAGAGCTTCAAATATACCGTGAAATAATACCAGCTATCTTGAAATATGAGGAAACTTGTCTATTTTTGATTTTGAAACAATTTGTTTTGAGTACGATTTGATTCTAGGATAAACCATGATACCTTGCTAATATTATGCCAGTAAAGTATGGCAGGAGTAACCTGGATGCGGGTAGCACAGGATTGATCTTTGTAATAGGAATACGCCCAGCAGTGGGCGTCATATGTAACGCAAGCCTATCATGGAATGTTTTGGTTGACTAGCGCCAGTTAGTACATTATGCCAGTTGTATGCCAGCGCTGATTTTAAGCGGTACTGTACTGGACACCACATATTGTGAACCAGCACGTCTGCATAGGTTAATGATAGTTTAATAATTAAAGACAACATAAGATTAAAATATTTATTGATTACAGGCCACAAAAACATCATATAAAACTGCACAAGTGAATTTTCACAGATCACAAACGGACAATTATTACTAGCTGCTCAGTGATGGCCCACTTCAATGACAGCCTTGTCGAAGGCTGCCACCGGCCGCGGCGGTTGCCCTACTGCTAGTACTGCATCTGTTGACAATAATTAAATGTTCAAATAATTGCATTTGATTAAAATTCACCGTAATTATACAGCTGTAGAAGACTGGGGTAACAGTATCTTCTGTCTCAACTTCTTTCCCATCGCGTTTCATTTCTTTGCTTATTCCTCTTGTACCGAATGCAATGTTTACAAAGCTTTCGTGTACGCTTATATTTACACCGGCTTTGCTCTATGCTTGAACTACAGGGAAATATAGTATCTAAATTAGAATAACTTGATCCGCAGAAGCGCGATAGCCGCGGCGGTTCACTGAATATGTGCTACTTGACTGTAAACTGTCACGAGGGAGCCAGCCGATCCACAGCAAGGGGGTGCGCAAGGCCGGCAACAGCCTCCGTGGCAACCGCCACACCCGCCCCTGAAATTATAAATATTTAAGTTGTATAAAAAAAAATTCGGACGGCCTCAGTCGGTTTCTTCGTCTTGCAAAAAATAATTATAAAGAAATTGTATCATTAGCTGTTGTACTTGGGGAAAAAAACGAACAAGCTCTATTCAACAATCCCATAAAAATTATTATTTAGCCAACCCGCCTAATAAAATCAGTAGATTCACTTACTGTATTGCAGACATAATTGTTTGTAATTGGCCGATAACGTTCATCCGATCGCACATTTTTGTTTGATTTTGTTTTTTAATTTAATTACTGAAAATTTATTGAGAATGAACTTGTAAATTTATTTCTTCGAAAAAATGAATTTTGATGATCGATGATTGTGAATTGTTGAAATAAGTGTCAAACGTTTTTTTCTTTAAAATTTGACAGCTACGTTATGTCAAATGACATAGAAAGGAGTTTGATATCAAGACTGTTTATAGTGAGAAGATGAGAATTTACAAATGAGGTATAGTTCAGTTTAAATATTTTGGTGGCCCAAGGTCATCGGCGCATTGCGTAGTGCTCTAAATTCGCCACGCATTTCCACGCATTCCGCTACGAAGGTAAAAGTTAAGAGCCGCCAAAATATCTAAATACTATTTTAGTAGAATATATACAGCAATAGTACTTACTATATTTGTGCCTATACATATGTCGGTGAACATGCAGGATAATGCGGCTTAACCTGAAAATAAAAAGAATGATCAACCCTCAATATGAATCTGATGATTAAGGTCCAAGAAATGACATGCATAAGAAAGGATCCAAACAAATATGCTCGAATGAAAAACAATAAACAATACTACCAAGACAAGTAACTGAAAGGCAATCTAATTTACTATAGGATATAGGTACATACCGGTCGATCGTAATTTATGAGTTGGTATCGCACTTTTTTGTCTTGATTATTGAGCACCATTCCCGGCCAACTGGTGGGTCTGTAGTCAAAGGTGCTATCGTGCACAATCAGTGGACGTCGCAATGTAACTGGATCCATGCCACATGGTAGACAAGGAGGGCCCTTCAAATGAGAGATATGTTTAGGTAAGATTTTTATCGCAAACTTAATGCTAGTAGGAAGAACGGTCAAAGAGTTCCAAAATTCATTCGATAAGTATTGCAAACGATAGAGGTTTTTGGTGATTAAATATTAAAGGATTGTTACTGTAGTAAGTACGACTATACTTATTAGATTAGATAAAGAATATTTGTTACCTTAACTGGAATACAAGGTATGTATTGTGGTGGTTCTTTATACCTTGGCAAATCTAATACCGGACTACACATGGTGAAATATGAAACTTTGTAATTTTGAAGAAAGGATTATTTTTAGATTTTCAATTAATTTTCGTATTTTTACAATTTTCTCATTTGAAATCTGCCAAACTAATGATTTGACTTTTTATTTTACGCTCATATTTATGCAGTCCGTGTACAGAAATATAAGATAATTGTATTCCATTTTTAAAGTTACGACAGTGTTATTGAATTTTACTTGTTGTGAGGGTTCTCTACAACACAGTATAAAGGTTTACGTTAGCATGTCAATGTTTAGTTTGCTCAGCCGGCAAAGGTGAGGGATCCGGGATCCACTTGTGAAAGCCCTTGGTGTGTGGTTCATGACTGGTCAACAAGATGACATTAAGGTTTTCGTAAACTTTCTGTACTTACCTATTCAGTAATACCAGAGTTGCTAGCCCACTGACTCTGTATTTTTAAATAGATCAGTCGGCTAGCCTCTTGCGCGGCCGCTTTCTTATCGGTTCGTTAAAACTCGACGTTGCCGACTCTCGAGCGGCAAAGGCTTCAAAATCATTCTTGTTCCAGCGCTCAAAATGCAACACTGTGCTATAAAAACGCGTCGCTTTTTAAAAGCGCTGCCGCATGAACAGATACGTGGAAATGGATTGGTTTTATTTGAATTGTTTTTTTAACGTGGAATGTGGATGCGGGATCTCTGTTTAATGGTTTTTTTTTATAACAGAAGGGGAGAAACGAGCAGGGGGAACACCGAGCGTTGCTGGCGCGTCGTTACTTTTTCCATTCAGTTTTAACGTCGGTATCTTCAAAAGTATGGTGAATAGGCATTTACTAGGGTAGCACGTACCATCCTATGACCCCATCTCCACTTTCAGGAGGTATCGTGGTCAAGCGCTAGTTTATAACTACGATATATCAGTAGCTATGTTCTCTTCCAGGCTACATCTATGCAAAATTTCAGAGATTCATGCAGTCGTCCTGCTGATACTTTCTTACATTCATCCATGCATCCATCCACATTTAAAATATTTGTAAGATAAACACATCTTCTGCAAATTCTTGTCCTAATTCCACATTACGAACAAGCTCAACTTGGCCATTTAGGCTTGCTGGGACATGACAGCTATTGAACAGGATCGAAGCATGTGACATTGAAGTTGATTCGAACATTGGGTAATTTAAATATAATGAAAATAAAATAACTTTTTTAAACACAAATCTTTTATTTTTCATTTTTTCTTAATATTTTAGGACATGATATAAATTAACAAAGTTTCATCACCACAATAGGCGGCCCCGACGTTGGGTCGTTGCCGCCTGCTACTCCACTTTTACCGTGAGCGTCTTTAGCACAACCTGTTGGGAAAATACAAATTTAAAAAGTTTTGTGCCGAAGGATTTAGAAGGATCAAAACATTAAAAAAAAATTAGTAATGCTGATACGTACGACAACAACTCTTAGCGCCGCCGCTAGATTCCATTGGCGCGATGCTTTTAAGTTCACAAACAATAAATCTCTTGCCCGTTGGGGCAGCCCCGTCCTCCGCCTTGCCAGAGACGGCCGCCACGTGCTTGGCGAGCGGCGCGGGGTCAGCCAGGCCGCGTGCGCGGGCTAGCTGGCTGGGCGCGCACAGCGGGTCCGGTAGCACCAGGCACGCCGGCTCGCCGCCGCACCCCGTACGCCGGCAGTCGTGCTGCAGCCCATTGCGCTTGATGCAGTGGCAACTGTAGTACATAATGCCTCCTCTCAATTCTCGACTTTTTATTCTCTTTAATTGGTTTTCTTTCTCAGTTTTTTCCTCGCCGCCCTCCTCGATCTCCGCAACGTTATTGGGCTTCTTTTTCTGAAAATAAAAGCGTGCATATATAGTAGGACGTGTAAGCGAGACCGCCGCGTGCGCCGTGTTGTAAAGCGTCATTACCCGTTATCGGCCGGTAGCGGGCGAGCGACTACCATTGAGACAGGAGGTCGAAGTCGCTGAAGCGCGTTACGTAGGTCTTGCCGGGCGGGGGGCGGCGCACGCAGGGCGGGCAGCAGGGTGGACAGGGCCGCGGGCAGCACGGACCGTCGCGGCACAAATAGCGGATGGAGCCCTGCTGGAAGTACTGCTGGTCCTGCAGCCCATTGCGTTTGAACGCAGATCGCGGCAGGCACTGCAGCTGCGTATACATTATGGCTTTAGTAAGGCGCCCATAGGTGCAACGTGACAATTTGACGAATAGTTTGCAACTATTCGGTTTCAAATGTCGCAGTCGTTTTAAAGTAAAAGCGTTTAAAAGTATTTTTACAATAAAATTTGTTTTGATGTACTTCCGCTCCAACGTTAAAAGACAACCGCAATAAAATTATCAAAATTAGTCAGGTTGATTCCGCAAAATTCAAAATTACAATAAGCAGACAATCGCTAGACGCTCAATATACGGGATGTTAACGAATATGAATTATAAAAAAGCAGGCAACACGTATAACAATTGCAACGTCCTTAATATCCCTGTTGGGACATGGAATTGGCAAATTCATTATGTTCTTGTGAAGGAACATATGTAGTTACAAAAACAAATAATTTATCTTTAGGAGATACACCATAACACGGTGCTTAAAGCAGTAGTTATCTACTTATACGCAAAAACGGCCAAAAAAGCGCTACCATGCCATTAACAATAAACAAGTACGAAAATTCTGCCAAAGTGAACACCTCAATTCTAAAAATGTTACTATTCAAGTTTTATACATTTTAATAGCATTTTTCTTTTGCGCAAGAAAATATGAAAATTTACTTACTGGTGGACCACAGTCCTCGTATTTGTAGCATACCATAGGGCCACAAGGAGAACACCTGAAACAAAATATACATTGCTTATTATAGCTTACGTACTCGTTTTCTATAATTTTAACACTGAAATTACTTACATTTTCCACCTTTATTGTGCTTAGCGATTAAAACGACGAGTCTTTTTTTGTATTTTAGTAAAAAAGATTTTTATATTTTACTTTAAAATTTTGAAAATATTTGTTACACTTTAAATTTTTATTTTATAAAAAATACATGTGTTCAAGTTGAAGAAATAATTTCTAGTGGCAAGAAATGTTCTTTTGTTTGTTCTATTCTTTTTTCTTTTTCTCGTTCTTTCATGCCTGTATCTTCAAAAATTAAAAACAATTTAAAGTGCCAGTAATTATAAGCAATAGGACAGAACTACACAACGCGTTTTATTTTACAATTTTTTATCGACGAATATATATGTAAAAAAAATTTGAGCTTCTAAGTTATATTTTTCGATAAAAATAAAACCTGAAAATTTATGTGCACAAGATTTGATTTTTAATGAGGTCTCATTTTGCAAATACTGCTCAGGGCTTCGGCGTGTGGATTAGCCATATGTTTGGCACAGGCCATGGTGGCGGGTCCGCAAATTGGTGTTGGTAGAATCTGACAATAGGGAGAGGTCTGACATCCGCTACGACGACAATCGTATTGTAGTCCATTTCTTCGTAAACAAAAACAATCCGTGTATAATATTCCTCCCCTCAACTCTCGACTTTGGCAACTTTTCAATGGTTTGCATGACGGCATGGTTGCTTTTTTATTCTGTAACAAAATCTTATTTAAGTAAATCATCATCATTATTATAATATAATAAATACAAGAAAAAATTATTACTTACATGAACACTAGAATTTTGTAAGGTTTTTTGTAGAAACTAGAAATTTACATCTATGTTTTCATTTCAATAATATATAATAAGTCATTTTAATTATCAAAAAAATCCAGATGGTTCATAAGGTTCTATTTATAAAATCAAAGAACCCTTTAGATTTTTACCCAATTTTATGACATTAATAAAACAAATATACTGGTTTAAAAAAAACTTTAGAAATTTACTTTGTCACATTGCATCACAAGTCGGACTTATTTAGTATAAAAAGTTACGATACAGCGGCTATGGCTAGTTTTTATTAGCTGTATAAAATTCATTTGTATGTCTAACACCATGTCTAGATTTTTGTGTTGCTTCTTATAATACACTAGCCGTTGCCCGCGACTCCGTCTGCGCGGGATTATAAAATAGATAGTAGCCGATTCTCAGACATACAGAATATGCTCACAAAATTTCATGAGAATCGGTCAAGCCGTTTCGGAGGAGTATGGCAACGAAAATTGTGACACGAGAATTTTATATATAAGATGATTGCCAATCCAAAATGTTATAAATGCAAATATTTGGATTATGGATGGATGGATATTTGTCATCAGGTCACTCTAAAACGACTAAACGGATCTCTATAAATCTTGGCACAAAAATAGATTACTGTCTGGAATATCACATAGATTAAGTTGTATACTTTGTTTCCCGCGCGAACGAAGTCGCGGGCAAAACTAGCTTATAATCTTAAATGTCTATGTCTAGTGTGAACTAGACTTAATATTAGCGTTTTTTACCCGCGTGTGTTTAAATGCTTTAATTATAAAATTCTGGCAGGTACCACTATTCTGAAAAGAGTAAATTTCTTTCGAATTAAGAATACTTCTAATGTTCACCAATGGTATATAAAGGGAATATTTTGTCAGAGTCATCAGTGCACAATCAAATCCTCTGCGGTAAACGTATATATAAAAAGACAAAAAAATCATTTTCATCAGCAGTTATCCGTCTTCATAGACGTTTATACTAGTTTATTATCTGGTTTATTTATACCCTTTGCTACTTTCAAAATGTAAGTTGAATTCTGTTTTATTTGTTGCCAAACGTGTGCCTTCGTATAACGAGGTTTCTTCCTATTCTGTGTCTTCTAATAAATGTCTTTGTCGTCAGGTGTTGCGGACCTTGCGGTGGATGCTGCGGCGGCTGTTGCTGCGGGCCATGCTGCCCCTGTATCACCATCTACACTTGCTGTACGAAGATCTGCTAACCTGCCGCGGCGAGGGAACGTCGCAAGGCGCTCCACGTCCGCTCGGCTTCGTTATGTACTCAATATACAGTGCCGTTACGTGAAATAAATGTATTAAGAGTAACATTTCTTTTATTATTCACTAAACCTCCAGATATCTGGAGCATCATAATCATCAGCTCACTATACGTCCCCACCGAGGGGCTCGAAGCCAAGCTCTAAGCTCTGGAGTATACTCCCACACAACACAATCACATGAGCAAAGACTGTTGGCGCTTACAGGCCAGGCCACAAACCTCATAAGGACTCGCTCATTTTTTGATACTAACGCACACAAAGCCACTTGATAGTCAAGGGAACGAACGTGGTCTGTAATATAGATAAATAACTATATTTAAATATATTTATATATTTCACATGAGTCTTAAATAAAATATTAAAAGAAGACTTTAACGTCCTACAATTCGGGATACTAAAGGCCTGGGTGAACAGTCCAGTAAGTTAGCGATTTCCACACGTTACATGAAATGCAGTTACTGATACATAAGCTAGCCGTCGTCCGCGCAGAGCTAAAACTTAATTAGTGACCCATGTTCTTCCGGACTACGTTCAACATCTATGCCGAATTACAGCGGTGTGGTTCAGCCGTTCTGGAATATACCTTAACATCCATAATAACTCATTTATAATAAATAAAATGGTATAGGATGGTTGCTTGGGAATTACAGATCTCGCCTGTTTAAGCATTTGACAGTTAACTTTATGTCTGTAGTTCCTATCGTGTGTTTTGTGCTCTTGACTTTCGCCATTTTAACGCTGTAAGTTGCGGCGGTGAGGATTTGAAGTAATATAATACTATAAATTTACTATAGTGTGTACGATTAGTTTGACCATTCACTAGATATGGGTTAAGTAAAATCGAATCAGAATTTTTTTGATTTTCGGTGATTCTCATAACTTAACATCGAAAATATCATGATTATTGATTTTGTTTGTCGTATTGACAAACAAAAAAGAAATTCATTTAATTTTGTTTAATAATCGTATAAATTCACAGCCAAATGTAATAAATTGTATATTTGGTGTGAAAAAAAACTAATATTTTACAGTAGAATTACTACCCAATAAGCTATCTACAAAGACTTAAAATATGGATAAATTAGTCATAATAACTAAGTGTTCTGTTAATATTTATGTTTGAATAAACAAAATATATTACCACAAACTGTAATAAATTCAAAAACTTATAAAATACCTAAATTAGTATAGTGCCATTTGCCCGATTAATTTTATTACAAGATCGATACTCGATAGTTCACAATTATTCGTTGTGCGCGACGGTCCGACACTATGACAACTGTCTATTAAGTACATTAAACGTCATACAAAATTAATTTGATACTTCATAGGCGTAAGTTATCAATCTTAAATTCCCATGATTTGCATATTGTTATCGATAATGACAACACATCCAACTTTATTAAACATCCTTATTTCTATAATTACATATAGTCTTAAATCTATAATATAAAAAAATAATAAATGAATAATAATAATAATTTAACAATAATCTTAAATAGAAGCTATATAAAGACATCAGTGAGTCACAGAATGGTATTTGACACTTCCGAAAATTAAAACATAATAGACATCTGACATTAATGTCAAAATTATAATGACGTGAATAAAAAACATGAAAAGTTTTAACATCTAAAAAATCCAATTCATATAACCAAACCAAACAAAACACAGACCAAAGGAAACATGAGGCTTCTCATGTAACGAGAAAATTATATTTATTAAAATGTCGCTCCTCAAATTAAATAGGTTTGTACAACAATTGGGAAGGAACACCGCCAAAATGTTATATAGCAGCTCATCTAAAACAAGTGATACTGATTCAGATGAAAACAATACAACTAAAGAAAACGACAAAGACCTTGAGTATGGTGGTTCATCCCGTGATATCTTAACCTGTGCGCTTAACACGTTTTACAGTGTGAGTCTTTTCTCTTCTTCTTGAAGTACCTGTCCGATCATCGGAAGACGACGGTCTTGTCTAGATATTGCCTTATGTCCCTTGCAACAAGAAATATTTTGGTGTCACGAAATAGAGAAATATAAAAGTGGTGACAGGCAAAGTAGCTTACTGCTTATTTATGGTAATAATTATTTATCTATTATTTTAGAGTCGGAAATACGGTCATGATTTACCATCCAACAACGTGTCGTTGAATTTCGACCCACTATACGGCATACCTACTGGCGTCTTCAGGGAGACTTGCGGAGAGGTATAAAAATACAAAAAACATTGAACCATAATAAAAACTATTTTTTTGAGTTTTGACGCTCATAATCATTTTTTAATTTCAGTATGAATAAATATAGAATATCCCCACTATCACAATAAAACTACAATACAATCAATCCCAAACAGGAGAGTGTCAATTTTCTTTTGTCTAATTTGTTGATATTTGCAGACACTAGGCGCCGGTACTGGCTTCGGAGGCTCGTGTTACCAGAACCCTGAATACTTTTCATATCATCACATGTCTTACTACGATTTTCACACAGCTTTAAGGGCATATCGGAAAGTTAGTCCTCAAACAGGACGAAAAAAATAACTGTATATAATATAATTTACTGAACGTAACATACTATTAATTATATCACCAGAAAATCATGAAATTATAATATATTTAGTTTTAATAAAAGCATATAACACCGATCATCGGAGCCCTAGTTATTATTATTGTCCGATTGATGAACCATCTGTACTATTTCGTGTATGATCATTTTTGTTGTCAGAATGAGGACTTTGGAAAAATTCGAGGTATTTGATTGAAACATAAAGTAAATAAGTAATAGAAAATGTAATGAAGGTAATGACCAATACGACCTAGTTGGCGAATTCGAAGTACTTAATGAAACGAATATTTCATTGCTAGCGCCTGAAATGAATTATCAGCAAATAACTATTTAAGAATTATTTGCAGTTTTAAGAAATAAAATTTAGGAAGGAAGGAATGAACTTATAAAAAGAATGTAGAAAAAATATAAAATAAATAAACGGACATCAATTATTACATTACAATGTATATTAAATATTAAAAAGAAAATTAGATATTTTTTATTTTTACTTCGTAATGATCATCATCATCATTTCATCAAATCATTTTTTAACCTACTTCAAAAAGGAAGAGGTTGTTCGTTGTCAGTTCGTCTGTATGTTTTTTTTCTGAAACAATCTCTCTAAAAATGTAAACTCTTCTCAAAATCAAATGAATTACGGCTATAATTGAATTTTGGGACACGCTGTATATCTAATAACATATGCAACTATATACAAGAACATGGTCAAATGCTCGTGGCCTTATATCTAACTATCAATTGCAGTCAATCATGTTTGCGACAGCGGTGGTCGGGTCGACGTTAGAGTTACATACATGCGGTCGTTCAGTTTTATGTATTATGTTTTAACTGTCCCTTTGTAACATTGGTTGATACTAGTACAAAAGTCCTTGGATAGTCTAATTATAAAAAATATGGCATCGAAAATAATTGACATATTACAAGATTACAGTAAAAAATAATTTCGGCTGTACCTTTTTAAAAGCAATATTTGTGTCGTAAACATAATCAATTTAAACTATGTAAATGGTTTTTTTTATTTAAAAATATTGCATCTAATTATTGCTTTTTATAAAATACTAACTACAATAAAATTTAATTAATCGAGTGTAAAAAACATCACCGTTGTAGACCATTGAGGTTGAAAACTGTGACGTGGTAATCATTACACTTTTTCTAACACTATCAGAGGTTCCCAAACTGTCACTACTTTATCTATAGATAACAATAATGTAATTCAAATATTAGTAAATGATAACATATCAAGATATAATCTCTTGGATATTTAAGAGCATAAAAATAGGTTTATCATTATCACATACAAAAGCAGGTCTAATGATGACTGATTTAGAAAATTGCGGTTAAAATAGGGAACAGATAAAATAGAAACAAAAAGGGAATTCTTGATCAAGAACTGGTTCTGAACGACCTCAAGTTTTAACTTCTAGAAACCTATACTATATCTTTTCGTCTTCTGCGTCTTTTATATGACGTTCACTGCTGGGCATAAGCCTCCCTCAAATACGCAACGCTGAATTATTGTTATTATTACATATAAATTTAATAAGGGTTTGAGAATCACTATCACAGACTAGACATATTTACAAAAGAACAAGATAATGGTATCACGCAGTCGTTTCATTTCCCACAGCCTTTCGACGGATTACATACACTCTTATACCGTCAACCGTCAGCCCACTTATACGTTTTAGATAATGTACATCTTTTAAGAATTACCTCGCATGCGAATCTGAAGTTTTTTAATTCTGCGCATAGTAGTGGGCAAAAGCAAGTTTAGGATACGTCTTAATTATTTTTACCTTCACGGATGTCTTTATCTTTTCTATTATTCATTATATGGACATTTTCTAGAAATACATATTAATTGATTTTTAAAGAATTGTTTTGTTTTTTTAGAATTCCTTTTCGCGCAATGTATAACCTTGCAAAATGTTTCCATGAATAGAATTAAAATGAAAAGGAATATTATTCATAAGTATGTTAATCTGTACATGTTTTGGAATAAAATCCTTCGATAATAGTTTCCAGATATTATAATACATGGAGACTTTTTGTTGTTTTTAATTCATTTATTGAATAACTGAACGATAATATAATACGATTTTTATGAATAAATCCTATTAGATATAAATAACTACCGGTAAATTTCGCCAATTAAACTTCGACTTAAAAGTTCAATACAAATCCTGTCTTAAGGCAAAAATATAATGTTACATTACAAAGATGTGTCTTTTTTACATTTGTGCATAGGTGATAGACAATCTATTCTTCTCTTAAAAAGCTTGTAGTGTTCCGAGGTATTGTTACAATCACAGTGAAATGGTTCACACTTTATGAGGAGCGACGTGCATGACAAATGATAGTGATTTGCTTTGTGTTCCGCGCGGACTGGACGCGGACAACTCTCTAGCGTCCAATCACACGTTTGTTATTGTATGTTGACTATTAGTTTCTGTAGCATTCGTTGAGTTATATTTGGCTCGTTCACGTACCAACACGTCTTGCCGGTCCAAAAGTCTGATATCGACTGACGTCCCCTCTCTCCGGCATGTACTTATGGCGTGTACGCCAAACAACACTACGTTTAGGCATACACTACAGTTCCCATTGTAGATACTTGTATAAAACATATTCTCATCCCTGCTTTACACTATGATAATACACAGTTAACATGTTTTAATACAAGTGTTGGAATTTCACGGTAACTCGCCATTGTTCCTGTTCCATTCCCTTCGATCAAGTATGTATTGTTATTCCAATTATTGTTTACTTTATACAAGGAATTTCTGATATGATATTAATGGTGGAATCTGAAATAAAGTTGTTGACAAAATAATAACGGAATCTCACAGCATTCATGACAATTTGTTCAGGGATAGAGTATGTAACGTAAAAGAGCAATGCACTAATCACTAGACGGAACGCAACAGAACAAAATTAACCAGTATAATATATTTATAGGCTTGCATCGTTGGTGGCTTTACACTCTATTGGCTCTGAAGTATAAATTACACACGCAATGCCACGGCATATATGATTCTAATCATCCGTAACGAAACTAATATTGTGCGGTCACAATGAAAACAAGAACTATCCTGCACGATTGGAAATCAAATAGCTTTTATAAGACAATGAGGAATTGGTTTGATCTTTAAACAGTTAGATGTTTTATTTTGATACTGTCGTATAAGGAAAGACAAAGGTTTTATCGTCAAATTATAATGATGGTAACTCTACATTCACAATGACTTTTGTCTTAAGCATATTTATGCTATTTAAACAAGGATGTCACTTCTATAACTTGTAAGTGCTTTGGTTGGTGTTCATAAGCATTTCTTAGATATTTGAATTCGTGTTAGGTACACTCAGGAAATAAAAGCAAGGACGTATTAAAGAATAAAAATGTTTTTTTTGTTTCTATTATCCTTGAGTGAACTGTTTGGAAATTTGTAATTTCTTTTGGTTGTATGTTTGAGTGTTGATTATATATTTAGTTATTACCGCTGCCTTAACATATATGTTAAGCGGCTACGTACAAAATTGGATAGAAGGGTTAAAACAAATATGCATACTTCACTTGTGATTAACTTGTATTATTGTACTAGGCCCACGGTAGTTTTTGAGTTTATTGAGTTTAGTATATGTAGTTCGACATGATGTGATAATGTCGGTGCAGTCATTTTTGTCGTAATAATATAGTGGAGGTAAATGTAGTGATTTACTTAAGCACTACCTGTCAAGATTTTCCGCTTTGATTTACGAGTACAGCGTCTCTCTCTCCCCTCATTTATATCATGGACGTTAAACTGTCGTGCAGATAAAAGAAGTTATTTGCGGTGAAAATTGAACACCGCTGTTATATTTTATAAATGACAACTTCAACGGGCCGATTTCTAATACTTGCCCCATAGCATCGATTTCCCTACAGAGAAAATATGCGCATAACAGCCCTAGCAAGTTGAACTGATCGAGAAATCGAAACTTGTAATGTTTTATTTAATTATAACAAGCTTATAATGTATTCAATTTTGTTTAAACGCTATAAGGTAGCAAGAAGGCTGATAAACAAATCAACTCATAATTAATCTTACTCTTACTAATATTATAAATGCGAAAGTTTAGATGGATTAATGCATGGATGATTGTTAGAAGGTATTTCCAGAACGGCTCAAAGGATCTTGATGAAATTCGGCATAGTCTGGAAAAATATATAGGCTACTAATTATTTCTTTATTTTCGCGCGGACGGAGTCGCGGTCGACAGATATCTTTGAATAAATGAATACAATTCAAGTAAATAACTTCAACAATATCAATCCATCGCTGTGGTTTGTATTCTCCAAATAATAACAAAATATTCTTTGTCTTTAATAATACTTTGGTGAAGGGCATTTAATATAATAGAACGGGCGAATGCAACAAAATGGCGACTAGTAAAGGTCACGCTGTGTGTCCGCAGTTTTGACTAAAGGTCAAGGTGAACAGCTTGATAGCGTCTTCATACAATGCGAGACTGTACACTAAACGAACGATATTCATTATTATGGATTCAAAGTCGAATAAAATACAAAAGACCGTTTTCGAATTTCTTCCTGTATTTGTCCTATACGTGCTGATGACACTTTCATTGGAATATTTCCTTTGATCGTGTAACTTTTTTTCGATTTTGCCCATAGCGATAAAAATACTTAAATACTTTGTTTTCTCTTATAAAGGTAGGAAAATAGTGGTTTAACAATGGCAGACCAGTAGCCAGCAACAACAACATCTGTTGAACGAATGGGGCTCGACCGGGGAAATACCACGACTACTCCAAAGAAAGAGAAGTGGAAGCAATTGCGCTTTTGGTCTGAAGTGTCTTCCTTCCTACCCTTTGGTAATAAAGGAATGGGAAGGGGAAGTGGATTTGATTGAGAAGGCACTCATAGCAAGGGAAATATTCTTCTGTGCGTCCCTTTCCTTGTTGATTAAAGATAGGCAACGGGTCTTTAATTTCGAATGTCTACAGGTAGCAAACGCATCGCTATTTCGGCGAATTCCAGTGACTGCTTGCTTGTTTGCCACCCTTAAAAACAATGGGGTAAAGGATGAAGAAAGACAGGTCAGTATAAAAGAAGCACCTCAAAGGCACCTTTGCAGTTAGTGGAATACTTTTTGAAGAATACATGTAAAGTAATTTCTTAGCATACGACTTTAGCTTGATAATTAAGAAGCCATGAAAGTTTCTCAGGTCATTCAATCTTTAATGCAATTGAAAATGTCTTACAGATTAAATTATTTATACAATAAAATTATCAAGTAAACCTTAAAAGGTATACTTAATTAAGGTCTTACGGATACGGTTAGTAAATAAAAAAATATTAACTTCACAGATAGATTTAAAAACACCGAAGGTTTTGTTTTTTCCAGTACTCAATGCTCTGCTCCGACGTATGAGTCACTGGCCGAAATTTTTTCCGTATGATGTAAGTTTATAAGCCAACTGCATGATCCGTAATAGTTATAATTCCTATGGAAATAAAATTCGATATTTTAGTTTAGTTTAGTTACTCTCAATATTTTTATTGACACCGTGTTTGAGGACGCCAGGAAACTACAAATAAAAAATTAAATGACATAAAAAACTAAGTTTTTCTATTTTTTAAATTTTATGTCAATTGGAATGTAAATGGATGCAGGGTTCAGGTTGGTATGTCAAAGTAAACAAACAACATGTTAGAAATCAGCTATTTTGATGAACATTATTAATAACTGACATAAGTACTTTTAGAATGTGATAATAACAATACAATAGTAGCAGTATGCAAGGTATTCATTCACATTCTTCAAAAGGACACTACGTAATAGAAATGTATACTATACATAATCTTATCGTATATGCGCATTTCGTAGTCAATGATATAATTTCAACAGATTATCACGCACAATACTTTTATATACAGTATATGTTGAGAAATTCGTGAAAATTTTCAGATTCTCCAATCTATTTTATGTTTGTCCGTAAACAAACAAGGTGGTGAAGTGTTAATCTTATCTGTTTATATCGCTAATGCGACCGGAGTGATGTGAGGTGGATTGCGGAGGGGCAGCGGGGACCGAGGCGGGTAGGGGGAGGCAGCAGGCTCCGTTAGCCGCGCCGGCAGTGGCCCAAGCCACAGCTGATTTCACATCGCCTCCATCCGAGTGAGGTGTCGCGCGCGTGTTCGTCACTCCGAGGTCGCAAAACGCCGGCAATGTCACGATCCAAACAGAACAATTAAGTTTCAATGAAAAAGTGAATGGTGATAATTATATGTATTTTTGGAGATACATTATTATTGAGCCCGAAGGATATTGGTCGTTAGTGAACGCATTTGGCGATATCAAATTTATGCGGGTAAGTTCCTCGATGTTTGCAAATATTCAGTGCTATCGGTGGATTTGTTTTTCAAACAAACGCGGTTTTCATGAGCTGACAATCGATTGATATGGAGGATGTTTTCATGTTTTGGTGTTTAGTATTATTAACAGCAATGTAAACAATTTATTACTAATTGGGAAATCTCCTATTAGTAATTAATTGTTTTCATTATATTTATTTATTCTTCATTGCATAAGTTTAAACTAAATATACTCTAATTAAATATGTTTTACTGTTATTTCCGTCATGCGATAAAAATTTCGATATCATTGTTAAGAAATGAATGCGCAAGATTATTTTGTAAATCTTACCTATTTCTTAATGACATTACTAATCAACTTGCAAAATTTGTGCAACCACTGCAAATTGTAATAGCCTTAGAATCACATATTTAATTATCAAAATAGTAATTGTGATCGAATGAGGTTAACGCGGGTTTTCACTACGAAAACTCCATACATCCAAAGTATCGTTATCTCAATTTTGCTAAAGAAAATAAAAGAGAAGACAATATTTTTGCTTTCGGTAACAATGACTATTAATTCATCAAGTAAACTCCTAAATTACTTAAATGTTGTTGCTAGATTGTTGATTGTTGCGTAGAGTAATTGCCGTTACAGGGAAGTGAGCCGTATCCACTTTGAATATGTATAAAATGTGAATTGGTACGTGTTTAATAGATCATTAATTTTGAATAAATCGATGAAATGGGTGTGCGAATAGGGTTCTAAACTTTATTTTCTATATGGTTCATATTAAGGTTGGCTTTAATGCCATTGCATGCAGCGTATTGAACAAGAACATAGTCGGTAGTGGTGTGAAAGAAGGCATTGTATGTCTTGTCGTGTGCTAGGTATCTAGATTGCTTTTTTTTTTGCAGCCAGTGTTCGGATATTTGAAATTTGGCAACCCTATTCGGTTTTAATACAATATGTCGGCTTCCATATGTGTATGTTATGTACATACAAGGGAGCGCCGATTCATTTGTTTGTATTGTTAAGTCTGTTCGCATGATTGCCGATAGGGAATAAACTCTCAGTATTGTTCGTTTAATGACACATAATTACCATTTAAAAAAAAAACCTGTGCCCTCATCGTATGGACAAATAAGGAAATTATGAAACTATTATTTTTCCGTGTTTTTTTTACATATTTTTCCTATTAGTTCTGCTATTTATATTATAGCTAATTTATATTTTTATATATTAATAAAATTGGAGTGCCTATGTAATATAGAAAAATTTTAAAATGTCTATCTGTATGACTGTTCACATGGCTGTATTTGTTCCGGGTAATCTATTATACTAGTACGGAGGGCAGCTGTACAATACTGTAAGAACAAAACTTGCCTACAACTTTGTAAAAAAAAAATAATATAGTAATTAAAACATCTCGAGAATGACCGATTTTGACGGGACTTGGCCGAAAGGTAGCTGATGCACGCGGTCATATTATATGTTATGCTTCATTTTTAATGTTTTGGTTAGTAAAATAAAATGAACCAAAGAAAAACTTATGAGTACTCTTAAAAACGCTTATTTCCATTTACTCATAGGTCGTTCGGAAGGAGTCTCAAAATTGTATAATGATTAGTAAGAAAGTCGGTGCAATTGTATTGTATTTTTCGCCATTGTTTCGGTTTTAAAATAAAAAAATATATATTATCCCGTAATGCTTTCTGCACCTAATTGTGCATCGTTGCAAGGGTGTTAACATATGTTTACCTAAATTGAGGTGACGGGTAGCTGTCGTAAGGCATTAGAGACGGTTCGCGGGTAATGAACATCCGACGTTCTTCCGGATCTAATTGCAAAGCCGCGACGACGCAGCGGTCGACTGAGTCTTTTGTACGTGCTTACAAATCAACGACTTAATAGAAAACAAGACAATTTGTTTCATATTTCCCTCGGTTTTGATGTTTTCAATTCGCTCATCAGTCTCGGTGGCAAAAGTGGTCCACCATCGATACGTCACGCTTGTCAATCGGAGCGGCCGAGACGTGGGCATGATGGCACAGTTTCGACCTCTTTGTTATTACTTGTGATTTCACCGTCCACAAGTAAAGACAATTGCCTACTAAATCCTGAAAAAACTCAAACACAAAAGTTTTGGTTTTAATCGTCGATAATAATAATGTGTCGAACGTTTCATTAGTTTATATTCATCATCATCATCAGTATACGTCAATATACGTCCCACCGAAGAGCTCGGAGCCTACCCTAAGTAAGGGTGATTAAGCCATAGTCAGCCACGCTGGCCCAGTGCGAGTTGGTTGACTTCACACATATCGTTGAATTTCTTCTCAGATATGTGCAGGTTGCATCACGATGTTTTCCTTACCACCGTAAGAACGTCGAATAAATGTACATAGGTAAATCGGAAATCGAAAAACACATTGGTACATGGCGGGATTGGAACCCAGGACCTGCAGATTGCAAGTCAAGTGATTGACTCCTGAGCCAACGACGCTAATAGTTTATATATTAACCAAAAATATGCCGTCTGAAATTAATACTTTCTAACTTTTTCGATACCTTCAATCAATCATTTCTTGCTTTTCGTTTTATATCAATCTTTGTAAACAGCAGTTATTTCATACAAATTACGGTTATCTCATTAGATCCAATATGTTTTCCATTTTGCTTACAAGATATTCACTGTACTCTGTCTAGCCATGCGTTATTAGGTTCACGTCTATCAACGCCTTGTGATGTAAATACGGGTTCTACTGGCATAACGACTTTTTGAATGTATTCGTGAACATAGATTAAATTTCAATTTAACAGGGTGATCCAATCTCCATTACGATCATGTCAAATGAACATTACGTGAACATCAACATGTGATAATCCTCATTGTTAATTGGAAACTAGCATTTGATGCATAATGAAGACGACTAATTATCGTAATTGTGGCCGACCGATCGATTGGCCGATGATAAATTGCGGTAATTACGCTCTGACGTCAGTTTGTCGTGTCAATACCAGAGATGTTAACCCCGCCTTGTTGACTTGAGACAGACAAGGTCACAATCGAATAGCGTTATCGCACTTGTTTCTAAAAAAATATTCTTTAACCCTTAAATTTTATCGCCGTGACATTTTGTAAACATACTGTAGTATCTGGTTTTCCAAACAGAATGAAAGGGATGGCACTGTCTTTGTATGCAAGTGCGTTAAAATAAAAAACAAATAAAAATTCTGATTAAAAGTATACTAGAGACTAGCCCTAGGCAGTTATATAGATTGGTAATTCTGATCATAATCTATAACGTTTCTCCGCGAACAATTTTAAAAGACGAGAAAGTTTTTATTAACGACTAGCTCTGCTTGCGACTTCGTCTGCATTAAATACTGTCAAACACATTAAATTTACTATAGAAAAAAATAGATGTCGAAGACTATTTCTTATTTAAATTTTTATCTGTTTTTTAATTTTTTTTTGAAACCGAGTCTCCAATTTGGGCAATAAAACTTAGTGTTAGAATGTATTTTATATTTAATGAAATGAAATAAAATTTAAATAAATAGAAAGTTTATTAATAAGAATTTTATCACCAAATCATTTAATTTCTTTCAAATGAATATAGTCGTATTTTGTGCCAAAAAGTTAAGTATTGGTGGATGTTTGTTTCGTTTACAATCAAACATTGTTCAAAAGAATAAAACTTTCTTTTATTCTTTATGCAAAAGTAATAGTTTCGGAATCTTGTATCGAAAGTTATCTTTTTTAGTTAACTTTATAAAAATGTTAGTATAAAAGAACCGGTTGCTAAACATTTAATGCCTACTTTCAAAACGAGTCGTTAAAGCGTGGCTGCTTAATTATACACCCCTATTAATACAAATGATTCAATTAAGTAATACGTTATTTTATTTTTATTTTATTCACGCGCGAGGCTAAATATCAGAATAATGATATTTCATATGTATTTGAAGAGGCTTTTTTTAATATCATAAGGTGGCAAACGAGCGAGCGGCCACGTGAAATCGCTGAAATAGCGAAGTGACCGTTGCCCGAAGACATACGCAATTGCATATGCGTTTGCCTACCTTAGATCGACGGAGGAGAGGATGCACAGAAAGAAAATATCTTCCCTTTCGGTGTATCCTCTCATCCGGAAAGCCCACTTCCACTTCCCATCCTTTCAAGAAAAAGGGTGGGAAAAGAAAGAGGCTCTACCACTGTTAAAACTAGCTTTAGTTTGTTTCGACGTTTGTTATTTGCCACGTGTTTCAAGGTGACGGTCGGGATTATGTCGGCTCCTGACATTGGCAGTGGACTACACGTGATCATTATATTTATAGTTTTACATGAAACCATTTCAATGCTTATAGCAGTCGTGTACATCGCTTTGTCAGATATAACAAACTACACGATAGCCAATTAAACACATGTAAATAAAACATAATCGCATAATACATTTAATTGGAACTTTTTGCACGTGTTTCTAGAATATTACAAACAGAACAGCTAATTAACTTTGCTAGTATTCAAACATGAATAACACTTGAACTTTTAAAAAAACATAGCAATAGTTTATGGTAATATGGTAGTTAGTTATTTGGTGTTATCTGAAAGTTAGTGCTACTGATGAGAAATAAATCTGTCGCCAGTAAATTTTCAAGTATAAAAACGAAAACAAAAACAACTGCTTTGTACAAAATATAATATATAAATAAGGTTATACCTTACCTCTACGATATAATGGATATAGTCGTTTTAAGTAACAGTACAAAATTCACATGCATTGTCTGATATTGCATTGCCTATAAATTAGCTCCGCATTTAGGAATGGGGATTTGTGCTTCGTCGATTCTCATTGCTTGCACAACGTTGTTTAAATGTTACACTAAAGGTTAGGTACCTTCATAATAGTCATTTCACGCGGCATTAAACACAACTGATTTGTTATGTTTCAGTAGACAGACAAATAGTCTGTACATAGTAAAAAAAGTTAGGTAAGAGTCGCCGTT